CGGCGTGACCATCCCCCCTGGGGGGGTGATTTCTCGCTTTCTGTCTCTATGTCTCTCTCTGTTTGGTGAGCGCACGCACCCTGTAGTGAGAAAAACCTCTCAAAAAAAAAAAAAAACGATGCTTTGGGACCTGCAGATGGTGTGATGGTGACATCGCTGGACTCCCACGTAGTCAACTGTGGTTCAAGTCCTGGACCTGGTGGCTTGAAACACGCTGGGCATACGTGCATGCCCAAAATGCTGAGAGGAGAATGGAGGAGAAGGTACTGAGGCATTACCATCCTCCCTGGGGGTGATTTCTTGCTCTCTGTCTCTCTGCTCTCCGGGGAGCACACACGCCCTATAGCAAGAACATCTCTTAAAAAACGATGCTTTGTTTTCCCAAACACCGTATTTTTAAAAAGAAAGAGGCATAGCATCAGTCTCACAACCAGCTTCGCAGGGAACGTTTTCCAGTTGTGGAGACAGACACCCTGGCTACGTCATCAGTCCTGAGCGTGGCCATGGAGGTGGGGAGGCTGCTGCCCCACGGCCCTGTGCCAAGAGCGCTGTCCCTGTTGCAGCGTGCTGGTGAGGACAGATCCACTGAAGGGTGGCCAGGCTGCATAGGCCACAGCCAACTCCGGACTGGTGCCAGGATCAGGGACAGGTCTGCTACCCCGGTGGGGTCCCTCCTGCCCTAGGGCTCCCACGAGGACAGTCTAGTCTCCAGGGCAGCCAAGCCCCTCTTTAGACCCCACCGAGACCACCTCTTCTGCAGAGAGCACCACCAAGTCATCACCTGAACTGGAGACCGCCTCTGGGAACCCCTGGGAGTTGGAGCTTACATCCAGCCCCGAGGCTGCACTGGGAGGGACCTCAGGCTGGGCCACAGGCCGCTGGGGCAGAGGGGGCCACTACCCTGCCAGTTAGAGGTGGAGTGAGGAAACCGTTCCCTGTGAGAACTCGACTGATCCGAGTGCAAAGCTCAAGCTTTTATTTTCTTTAAGGTTTCGGCCATAGAGCACATGAGCTCACCAGAGAGAGAGACAGAGGGAGGGCAAGTAAGAAATCCCGGGGGACGGCTGTGCTGCAACCCCTTCTGCATCGTAACCCCTCCTCTCCATTGTGCTCTTGAGATTTGGGCATGCACACACACACGCCCCGTGTGATTTTCAAGTTACTGGGCCTGGGGCTCTAACCACAGCTGGTCACGTGGATGTCCAGCGCCTTAACCACTGTGCCACCTGCTGGTGCCCAGAGCTCACGCGTCTCACCAGCACACTGTCCTGCATGTCAGTTACCGCCTTCGAAGTACCAGCCCACCCGGGACTAGCCTTCCCTCTCATGGTCAATCAAAACCTCAACAACAGAGTTTAGAAAGACAACTATTTCCCAAGATGGCTTGCCAACTTTTCTTTGTCACTCCCAAAGTAAACACATAAACAGGAAGAAAAGAACACAAACAACCTCATACTTCTCCAATTATGTAATGGAACAAAGGAAACGCCCTAACTTCTTTAAGTTCTGTTCTTATGGACCTACTTATTAAATCTTTTCATTCGAAATTCCTTTATTCTGATATAAATAATGGTTCAGATTATTTATGTCAGAAATGAAGTGAATCCCTCTATACCTGAAGCCATGTCAGCAAGCTCCACGAGGAGGTGAGCCGCTCCCCGTGCATGCCGCCAGCTTCGGGCTCTGGCTTCTTCCAGCCTCCCACAGGCCCAAGCTCACCCGCCCCAGCCCCAGCCTACATCTCCGGCCACTCTCAGCTCAAGGACTTGCTGTCTCTGCAGCCCTGACAGTCGCAGTCCTACCACGGAGCCAGCTGCTCCCCACCTCAGGGCCTTCTCGCCCTCCGGCTTCCTCCCTCCTAATCAAACTTTTCTTTCTCCTCTCCCCTCTCAGCTTTGATGTCTGGTCTTTGGGAACTATGGTTTGAATGGGTCCCCCAAGAATTCATGTATTAAAATTTGGTTGTGACAGGATTAAAAGGGTTAGAACTTAATCTGACTATGGTGCTCTAATGTGGGCCTCTGGGAGGAGATGAGGATTAGCTAAAGTCATCAGGGTGGGCTCCCCATGGTTGAATCCTGGTGGGTTTACGAAGAAAGGGAACGAGACAGACCATACCCGTTGCCTCTTGTCCTTGCCCCGCACCAGCTCTGCAGAGTCCCACCACCAAGAAGACCCTCGCTATAAATGGCTTCCTGGCTCTGGGCCTCTAAAATGGTAAGCTAAATAAACCTCTACTCTTCATAAGGTATCCAGACTCAGGTTTTTGTTGTAAACAACAGAGAATGAACCAAAACATCAGAGAACTCTGCCCCACCCGGCAGACGAGGTCAGACTCCAGGATCTCACACTGTTACTTTGTAGGTATCATTACCATGGAGCTTAGCAGTGTCTTCCAGGATGGACTAGAACCCTGTGAAGACTGCCATTTTATACCCAGCTCTTTGTACAGCCCCTACAACATAAGTAGAGACTCAATTTCTTTAAAATGAGTGAATGAATTGCATATAAAAATTAATGCATAGATGGAGCAAAGAGAGAATGGACCAAAGGACACTTGCTCATAACCACAGGTTAGTTTTTCTCTCACACACACTCAGGCAGTCTCTCCCGTTTGCCCTCCCC